GACTTCCAGTACTCTATCTAACGCCAAAAATATATATAATAGTTTAGCCACACAAATTAGTTTTAATTAAAATTTGAATCCAAAGTGACTAATTTTGCAATTGTTTCAAGCCCATCCCTTTAGAAGCCCAATTTCCATGACCCGCCTGGCCCAACCGGATCTCCCCTCTCTTTAAAACACTCATTTTCCCAAACCCTAAGAAAAAGACAGACGGATCCCCCTTTGAAAACCCTAGCCGCCTGGTCTCCTTCCTCACTCACCCATTCCCTTTCACGCAAAAGGAAGCCGAGAATTCGCCATCATGCACACACATCTCACCTATGAAAAAAGTTAAAACAAAATCCCTGAATTCTCATTTTTCTAGATCATGATCTGAAGAAGAAAAACGAAAACCTTCGGTGGATTAGATTAGTTAGAGGACTTCCTTTAGGTCTAGTGCTATATCTCGTTCGTGATCCCCACCCGGGAATCACATCACTTTTTTAATAGCGGCCCCACCGTCGGGGCATAAGCGCCCTCTTGCTACCCATATGCGAGGCGCCGTCTTAGCCTTCCCTGACGTCTTCTCTTAGGTTTCTTCCTCCCGCGCCCGTCGCCCCACTGGGATGTCCATAATTGAAGCATTTTTCTTCATCGACTGTCGGTTTTTTACTAGGTGGCCGATGTCTTTGATGCTTTGGTTTTCGCAGGAAAGGGTAAGGGTTCCAAACTTAGCGTGTGAGCTTTGATGAAGACTTGGAAAGGTTTTCTAATTTCTGTTGTGTTACTTGGAGAATTTATGGGTTTCTCATTTGTTTTTGGATTGAAGTTGAGGTCGACATTGCTATTCTTCTGCTGTTTGCTATCAAAATCGTAGCTGAGCTTCCTTCATCTCCATTTCTGTCCTTTATCAGCTGTTTCAAACTCTATTTGTCAAGTATTTTAGGTACACATTCCTGAATCTGTACTATTTCTCCATAAAAATGGCTGAAATCATGAATGAATTTGTTTCTGATGTTCCATCTCCATTTATGTGATTGTTTTTCTTAATAAATTGCTCATTAGACTTATATATGATTTTGTTAACGAACCAAAGGGATGGCTGTCCATTTCAATTAAGTTTAGACCGTTGGAGTCTTATTAAATATTAGTTAATTGAGATTAGTTTTTTAAAAAAAAAATTCGGAGTTGTTAATGGGCTTTAGGTGTATGCATACTAGTTAACAGTAGTATTTATCACAGTCTCTACTTCGTTGCCTAATGCTGAAATTTGGTATATGCATATTTTTTACAGGGATCTACTCACTTATGGATTAAGCTATTGTTTGAACTTTGAAGCTGCAGAAATTCAAGCATTGTTAGGCGTTAGCTACATGACAAACATTTTTGTGTAGTCTGCTCACTTATGGATTAATCATTTTGAAGTATGTATTCTGGACTCACTTTGAATATAGACTGGAATTTTATCATTTCAGAATTAATCAGGGAGCATTGACTTTTCCTTTGCAGTTGTGGGCGGAGGAAAGACATATATATTATGGACTCATCTGTAATGTAGTTTGCTTTGGGATGTAATAAACTCATCTATTGTATTCTATAGACTGGAATATAGTCTGCTGAGCATAGAAATTTTAGTTTGAGTCACAATGGTCAGCAAACAATTAATGCATGCAATATAGATTGAATTAGGCCAATAAATCGCCCGATAACCGCCCTATAAGAGCTAAACCGATACCAATCCGCCCGATATCTTATCGGGTGGCTAGCGGATTAATACATTTAAAAGCCGATAATCGATAAGCCAAACCGTTAAGAGTAAATAACCGTCCAATCCGCCCGATATCTTATCGGGTGGCTAGCGGATTAATACATTTAAAAGCCGATAATCGATAAGCCAAACCGTTAAGAGTAAATAACCGTCCAATCCGCCCGATATCTTATCGGGTGGCTAGCGGATTAATACATTTAAAAGCCGATAATCGATAAGCCAAACCGTTAAGAGTAAATAACCGTCCAATCCGCCCGATAAGCAGCCCTAGTAGGAACATGAAAAATATTGTTGAGCGTTAACACCTTGCCGGAAGTCAACTTCAGGATTATCTTCCCATTAACCCTAAATCTTAGCTGTTATAGTATTTCCCAAGGAAAAGCTCTTCTTCGGGACCAATAGTAGAGTAAGTCGTAAATGCTTCTTTGATAGCACAAACATGTTGAGTGGCTTTAGAGTCAATCCTTCACTCCTTCAAATTTCCAACTAAGTTGCATTTCGAAAGCATTGCACACAGATCATCAATGTCATCGTTCTTCTCCACTATGTTGGCATGTCCCTTTTTCTTGTCCTTTATTGGGAGACGACAATCAGGGGCTTTGTGACCAGTTTTTCCACAATTGTAGCAGTTTCCCTTAAAATATTTCTTGTTCTGCTCCTTAGTCTATCCAGATTACCTCTTCCTCTGCTTACTTTTTAGAGCAGTTTTCTCAACGATATTAACTCCCATAATCGTTGAATTTCCACGAGACTTCTTCCTGGTTGTTTTGTTATCTTCCTCAATCTTGAGACGAATCACAAGATCTTTCAACTTCATTTCTTGGCGCTTGTGCTTTAGATAGTTTTTGAAATCTCTCCACGAAGAAGGCAACTTCTCAATCATTGCAGCCACTTGAAATGCTTCATTCACTACCATACCTTCAACAATAAGGTCATGAAAAATAAGTTGAAGCTCTTGAACTTGGGTTCCAACGTTTTTGCTGTCTATCATTTTATAGTCTAGAAACTTGGCAACCACAAACGTTTTCAAGCATGTATCTTCAGTCTTGTACTTCTTCTCAAGTGCGTCCCATAATTCTTTCGAAGTATTCATAGCACTGTAGACATTGTACAAGTCATCCTCCAAAGAACTTAGGATGTAGCATTTGCAAAGAAAATCTGCTTGTTTCCACGCCTCAACAATCATAAACTTCTCATTGTCTAGCATGTCGGCGGCAGGCACTAGAGGGTCTTCATTGGTGAATTTTTGCATACCAAGCGTGGTAAGCCAAAAGAACACCCTTTGCTGCCATCCTTTGAAATTGGCTCCAGAAAATTTCCTCAATTTTTCGGCTGGTGGCACAACAGTTCGGCTTGACGAGGCTATCGTCATTGCTGTAACAGTCACAGAAGGTTTTTCATTATCAATTGCTATTTCTCACTGTCAACAACAGAAGAGTTAAATTAAAGGCAAAAAAATAGAACAGTAAACAGTACTATAATTAATAATAAATAGTGTATTTAATAAACAAAAATCGAAGTTTTGTATATACTGTTTCACAAGAAAAACGATGAAGTTTTTATGTTCTTCAAATCATTTCTGAATTTTAATACTCCGATGAAGTTTTTATATCTTTAAATCAGAAATAGAAAAATTCAAAAGGAGTAGACAACCACAAAGGTTTTAATCTCCAAAACAGAATACAAATTACAGTATAACTAAATTCCTTAAGATTGTTAGTCAAAACTGTAATACTATAATATATTATGAAACAGTAAATTTTCTGAAATAGAAAAATAGAAATAGAAACTTCAGCTGTAACAAAATGTCGAAATAATCAAACAGAATCTGGAAGATAATTTCGGAATGAAATCAAGCTCACTGAATGCACAGTATATCCTTAAGAAAATTATTCCCCTCAAACCCAAAGTGTTGGAATATTATCCTCCCAGGATAGAACGACTTAACTCACCAGTGTATTGGTACCAACAACTCTAATGAACTGCGAACCACTTAATGGTTGTAAATCACACCGGAATTTATTTGTGCAGAAGAAGAAGAAGAAAAAGATCAGAAAAATTTGTAAGGAAAGATTTTGGGATCAAGACATATTTATAGCCATTTTCTGGCACTGTTTCTGAAAAGTTTGCAACCTTTCAGAAACAGCCATGGCTGTTGGAACAGGTGGAAACGATTCCCGTTTAAAATATTCAAGGAAAATAAATTTAAAATAATCCGGGAAAGAAACGGTCCGGGTCGCGTCGCATGTTGACTTTTCGTTAATTAATTAAATTATTAAATTGATCTTTGACCGAAACCGAGCGAGCGACGACGACGGCGCGAGGCTTACCTTCTTTCCAACCCATTTAACACCAAGTTTCTCAATATAAACACGTTCCCTTTTCTTTCCACCACCAATGAGGGACAATTGCTCTTTCCAAAGCATAAGGGAGCTCACTTTCCCTTCATATTTCTTCTCTCCATTTCCCATTCACCAAACTTCAATCCCAACATTTTCAAGATCAAATAATTTACAATACAAGAGAGATGCAAGATTATTCAAATCTAACAGAGTTAGGGAATTGAACCAGAAATAAAAAGATAGAGAAATCATAGTTGTGAATATATCAGGAAGTAGTAACAAAGTCTTAATTTATAAGAGCACTCAAATTGCTAGCATTACCATCTAACTTCACCTCATTTAAATGAACTAGCAGGGCAGTAAAAGCTTGCTCAGTAGGCAATACAAACAACAACGCCTCAATCCCAGGAAATAAAGTATATATTATATATACTAATATATCCAATATATAAGTCTTCGCTGTTCATGTCGCTCCATTTTAAACTCATCTCAATCCAAATATTAAGCGGACAAGACAATAAAGAACAAAATGGCATATTAGTCCTTCTCTTGTTTAGGTTTATTCAAGAAAGAGCTCAAGGCAAGTGTCAAAGCAGATGATGACCCGATAAAAGCTGCCTGCAGCAAGAGCCGTGCCTGTCATAGAAACCATTGTATCATTTTTTTCATTGGATTAAAGCAATGCATATTTAGCTTTTAGTCTGAGTCCAGAAATTACCTCTGCCTTATCAATGAAGATCACTTGCTCTTCAATGTCGCACAAGGGTACATTTAGTTCTTTGAGTAAGCCAAAACTTGTTGTAGAACACATAGGCCTGACTACCAAATCGTCCGAAACAATAAACAAGGATGGTGACAGTGTTAATCTGCCAATATCACTTGTGCCACCACTTGTGCACCTGGGGTCTAAAAGGCTATGATCGTCGATTTCCACAGAAATCGGAAGCAACTGATTCTGGCATCTATGTCTTGGTGCGACACCGGGGTTGAGTAATCTGTCTTGACAATAAGGAAACCATTTTGACTCCAAATCTGTCACACTTTTGTACAAGTTGTCTATGCATCCAAGTCCAGAAATTCCATTTAGAACACGGATCACTGATCCAATAGGAAAAGTGAGGAAACTGAAGAGAAAATCGACGAATGAATCATTTGCTTCAGCATACAGTATCTTGTTTCTAGATTTGCTTAATATTAGCTTCAGATTTATTTTCCAGGAGTTTCTGGTGTACTGGAATTCACTAGGAAACAGTGGTGAAATTCTTGGCTCAGGCATGATGTTGTTGTCAACTATATTAGCTTTCTTGTTCAGAAACACCTCAGTCAAGGGAGATTTTGAGATCAATGAACAAGTGAGAAGTCTTAATATCTACAGAGAAAAACGAGGAAAATGCACATAAGATAACATAAAAAAGAGGAAGAGGGAATTCCTAGCGCGAAACAGCATTAAGTTCTTGTAATACATCACCTGAGTTGCACTTTATTAATTTACTGAATCGATTTCCTCTTTAGTGTTTTTCCTTTCTATTAGATTGGACATCTTAAACTGATTTTTCATACCTTGTTATTCAATTATTACCCTTAAACTGAAGAAACTTTTACTGTCATTTGATTAGGATATTTTCAAAGGGGTGGTGCACATATTGTCCATTTTTATTACTTGAGACTTGAAAATGGAGCAACAGTTGTTTTGCTATCTGTATCTGCTATGCATAGTGCGTATCTTATTTCTTTAAGTTCGCTACTTCAGTCAAATGATATGATCAAGAACCTAAGCTAATTACTCTAGATTACAACAGCAAACAACAACTAGGTCATTGGTTATGTGAATCTACATCGACCCTGTCGCTCCATTTAAATTCATCTTAGTCCAATGTTATGCAAAATAAAAATATAATGTACTGGGAGTTCTCTATATTTTCTACTGACATGACCAAAAGGCTCCTAGAAATCATAGGGCCTAAAGTAACGTAATAACACAACTAAAACTTAATCCCAACTAATTGATATATGCCTATATAGATACTTTTCTTTCATTGTGCCCTATTTTTTTCGCTAGGTATGCACGGATTCATTACTCTAGACTGCTTATTCAAAATCTAGCAATAATAGAAAAGCAACATTCTTACCTCCTCCTTGCCAACTTCCACAGACATCTCTCTTATCTGATTCATGTGGCTGTAGCCAAGATCATCAGAAAGCAGTTTTACAAGAGAACTTGGAGAACCAGGCAACACTCTTAAATCATCACTGATTATAAACTCTATTCCACCCATAAGAAAAACACCATAATAATCATTTGTTGGATTTCTTATATCTGAAAATATCTCCTTAGTTGTCCTCCCTCCACAATAACATTTAACATTGACTAACCAGCTCTTTAATGAGCAATGCTCTTTAGAGCATTTGAAGTACTTGTTTGAAACTGAATCGTCTATGTTCACTTTCAACTTGAAGCAATCTTCATTGCATGGATTTCTTGGATTTAAAAGGACTGACTTACAATTTTCTGAATAAAGATGCTTTACACTAAGATTTTCAACACTTCGGTATAAATTGTTCATACAAGTAGAAATTGGACTTATCTTTGACATTGGCTGGCTGTTGGTTAATCTGATTATTGTTCCAATTGGAAAGGTGAGAAAACTGAATAATATATCCACAAAATCCCTGTTGGATTCAGCAGCAATAACTCTATTTTTCTTGTCATCTACCAAAAGTTTCAAGGGAACTCTGGATTCTTGATCATTAGCAGCCATTTTGAAGGGAATCACTAACTCATAAAAAGTCTTTTTCTTGAAGAAAAAAGTGAGTGATCTAATGTTTTAACTTAAATGGAAGTGAAAGGTTGTAGGGATATTATATAAAAGGTGTGTTTCTTATCATAGAAGGAAGAGTTGATGTAAATTGAGGTTTTCTTTGTTTTTATTTGAGTCACTACACAATTGGAATAAATGGAGTCAAGACAGATGGTGGCATCAAGAAAACTTGTTTCTTAAGAAAGAATGAAAGCTAAAGAGAAAAGTTAAAGGGAAAAGACAACATTTAGTTCCATTCTGACTTTAATTCTTAATTTACTGGCTAAAACTTAGAAGTGAAGTGATTTACCACTGTGCCAATTTCCTAGAAATTAAACTCTTCTTATGGAAGAAACTACAATAGAAAAGGTTGTGTTATTTTTGCAAGTGATAATTTAAGCTTGGTCAGGCGTCCTGTTGGGCAGTATTTTTATTCAAATCTTCTTAATTGAATTATATTTTTACATTTTCATGAGAATGAAATGCAAGCACTTTGTTAAAAAGAAAAATAAGACAATAACAATCCATTGATCAAACGAGATTATGAGACACAGTCAATCTATGAGGGTTAATGTAGCAGCTTGACTGCTACCAAGTTAACGAGGAAACAAAAGAAGGAAAATAAATTAAAGAAGGAGCAAAAAGTTCATTATAATTCTCTGATGTCTTGAATACAATGAAAAGATAAGGACCATAACAAATCAACTCTGAGGCGTGTCCTCTTTCTAGAATCTATTTAAAATCCTACGGAAATTTTGTAAATTCACACTACTGGACTCAGCTACTCTACTGGGCCTCCACTGAACGTGGGCCTTTGTGAATTAAAGATTTGGGCCAAAACAACCTGAGCAACAATACACTAATAAACTCCTTTCTTCAGCCATCACTATACTCCATCCCCCTTGAGAACCTTGATGTAAATCAAGGTTCATAATATGGAAATTGACTTCTCAGGAATGAGTATTCCTCCCATATTGCTTCCTCACTAGCTAAGTTTGCCCATTGCATCAGTACTTCGGACACAACTCTATTATGCTTCTTCACCATATGTCGGTCCAGAATTTTCAAGGGTTCTGTCAATATCTGACCATCTGTTGTGCAATGTGGAGGATCTTGAGTGGAAAATACTTTTTCTACGATTTTCTTTTTCAGTTGAGACACATGGAAAACATGGTGTATTTTGGATCCCTCTGGCAAGCGGAGTTTGTACGCGATTGATCCAATCTTTTGAATCACCTCATAGGGTCCGAAATAACGAGCAGATAGCTTCAAATTCCTTGGGACTGCAACAGAAGACTGTCGATACGGCTGTAGTTTCAAGAACACCCAATCCTCTGCTTCAAAGTTCCTCTCTTTTCTCTTCCTATCGGTATACACCTGCATCCTTGCTTGTACTTTGGTTAAATTGTCGTGTAGAACCTTTGCCATCAATTATCGTTCCCGCAGAATCACATCTACCGACTCTAATTTTGTCTGAGCAATCAACTCAAATGTGGGTTGGGGAGGGTCATACCCGTACAAGGCCTTGAAGGGGGTCATTCCGATAGCTAAGTGATAACTGGAGTTATACCAAAACTCTGCCGATGCTATAACAGAGATACGTATCCAAACATCTATTCAATCTTTCGGACTGTCTGTTGGTTTAGGGATGATATGTTGTACTTGGTTTCAACTGAACATATAAATCCTTGAACAACTCTTTCCAGAAAGTGCTAATGAAGAAGGGGTCACGATCAGAAACTATTGAGCTAGGCATTCCATGAAGTTTGCACACGTTATCCAAAAATAATTGGGCAATTTGGTTTGCTGAGTAGGGGTGTGTCAAGGAAACGAAATGGAAAAATTTAGTATATCGGTCAATCACCACCAGGATAGAGTCTCTACCATGTGATTTTGGCAATCCACTGATGAAAATCCATGGCTAGATGCTCCCATGCACGAGATGGTATGGGCAGAGGCTATAGAAGACCCGGATAAGCAACATTTTCTCCTTTGTTTCTTTGATAGACTTTGCATTCTTTGAGTTGGTTTTTGATATCGTGTAATAAGCTCGGCCAGTAAAAGAGTGATCTGATTCTTTGTTGAGTAGCAAATATCCCTGAGTGACCACCCCAAGGTGAAGAATGCATTTCTGATATCAAATTCTGTCTGATGGAACCATGACTCCCCACCCATACTTTCCCATTATGTCTAAGAATTCCATCCTGAAGTTGTAACCCTGCAACTGCTGCTGGATCCAATCTCAGTTGAGTAATCAACTTCTGGGCTTATTCATCGTCAATATAGCTAGCCATAATTTCCTCGGCCCACTTGGGCTGAACTGTTGAAATCCCATAGCAATCTCCATCCTTAAATCTTCGAGTCAGAGCATCTGCAGCTACGCTCTCAGTTCCTTTGCGATACTGAATTTTGTAACTGAGGCCTAACAATTTAGTTACTCCTTTATGCTGTAGGGAGGTCGTAATTCGTTGATCTTTTAGGAACTTAAGGGTGAAATGGTCTATCTTGATGATGAAATGATTCGGTTGGAGATAGTGTCTCTATTTCTCCACAGTATGTAGTAAGGCAATTAGCTCATTTTCATAAGTGGATAGTCCAAGATGTCTTGAGCTTAAGGCCTGACTGATAAATGCAATTGGGCGATCATTCTGTACAAGCACTGCCCCTACTCCCTTACCACTTGCATCTATTTTTACAATAAAGGGAATTGCAAAATTGGGAAGGGCTAGGACTGGAACTTGAACCATTGCTTGTTTCAATTCCTCAAAGGCTTGAATAGCCTCAAGGGTCCAATGGAAATTACCTTTTTGAGGTGGTTGGGCAAGGGCTTGCTTATTGTAGCAAAGTCCTTAATGAATCTTCTGTAGTACCTTGTAAGGCCCAAAAATACTCTCAATTCCTTGATGGATTTGAGTTGATACCAATTCAGTATAGCCTATATTTTGGACCCATCGATGCTTACCCCTTAACTAGGAATAACATGACCCAAATATTTCACTTTTTTCTGTCCAAAACTACACTTTGACCTTTTGATGAATAGGTGATTAGCCTTAAATAAGTCAAAAACAAGTTGTAGATGACTCACATGATCAGCCATGGAAGCACTGTATACTAATATATCATCAAACAATACTAGTACAAAGCGTCTGAGGAAAGGTCCAAAAATATGGTGCATTAGCGCCTGAAAAGTGGCTGGCGCATTGGTCAATCCAAATGGCATAACACGAAACTCCTAAAGGTCATGATGTGTTCTAAAAGCCATTTTGAATTCATCACCATCCTTCATGCGAATCTGATGATACCCGGATCGCAAATCCAACTTTGAATAGAAGAGAGCTTCATTTAGTTCGTCTAACAAATCCTCTACCATTGGTATATGATATTTGTTTTTGACCATGATTTCATTAAGCTTACAGTAGTTAACACACATACACCAACTTGAGTCCTTTTTCTTTACTAGTAACACTGGTGAAGCAAAAGGAGATACACTTTTTGTAACAGTTTGTGCCTTTAGCATATCTGCAATTATTTCTTCAATGGAATTTTTCTGCTCAAATGAATATCGGTATGGCCTAAGGTTAATAGGCTTGGCCCCAGGCACTAGTTCGATTGTGTGATCACAGTCCTGACTCAATGGTAATCCGCTAGGCTCTTGGAATACTTCCTCGTGCTGGCCCAATAATTTCAGAACCTCATGAGGAACCTATTCCTGGGCCTCCTTGGCCTCCACCAGAAATAATTGGGCCACAAAATTGCATTGGCCCTTATAAACTGCTTTAAAAATGGCCTTTGCATCTACATTGTAAAGTCTTCCTTCATTCACATCTCCAAACAATGTTACCATCTCCAACCCGTATTTGAACGTGATGCTTTTAAGCTTGGTATGTAGTAGTATTAGAGTAAATGAATCAATCCAATCCATCCCTAATATAATATCACAACCACCAGCTCTTAGTACTCTCAAATCAAAGTTAAAAAACAACTGTTGCATTTCCCAATGGAAATTCTTCCACACTTGCCTACACGGTAAGAGCTGCCCGCTTGCTACTCTGGCTATCATGGGCCGACCCAACTCTTGCACGCTCTCATCCCCAATTTTAGCCACCTCAGGGTCCAGAAAATTATGAGTGAACGCTGAATCGATCAAGACTGTCACCTTGAATCCCTTAACCCATCCCACTATCCTTATTGTGGTTGGGCTATCACCATGACCCAACATAACGTTAAGGGTCACCAAACCTTGCTCGAGTGCTTCTTCTCCTGCCACTACTTCTGTTTCCTCAATTTTATCAACTGCATCAACAAATTCTTCTCATTCCATTGTATTAAAGGTCTTGTTTTTGCATTGATGCCCGGGATGCCATTTATCATAGCATTTGAAACATAGGTTCTTTTCTCTCAATGTTACCAAGGATATGGGCTTTTGGTTACTGGTTTTTATGTGCACAAGTGGAGGGTTTCGAGGATAAGTGATGGCCAGAGTAGGTTTTTGTGTGTGGCAGGTGATTCTGGGATGGGGTTTTGAATGCAACTGTTGGTACAAGGCATTAAAAGATTTTTCATACAATTTATCTTTCTTGTAGGCCTCCATTAAGGTTCTGGGCTCAACATCTTGCACCAAAGGTTTTATATGATACCTAAGTCCTCCAATGAAACATAAAACATAATATGCTTCAAGGACAAATGGGTTTATCAAGGTCAGCAGGCACCTTAATTCTTCAAATTTCTTTTTATAACTATCCATATCAGTCAACTGTTCCAAATGATTAAACGTGGCAACAATTTCAACGGGCTGATTGTTACCAAATCTTTGGCAAATATTGAAACAAAACTGAGCCCTAGAGACATTCCCCCTAGTACAATACATAGTTATCGAACCAGTTGTCGACATAATCCTTCAAATGAATGGCTACGTATATCATATTCTCCTCGTCTGTGATCTTATAAAGGTCAAAATATTTCTCACGTTGCCTCAGCCAACTTCGAGGGTTCATCTCATCGAATTCAGGAAAATATAATTTGGTCTTTGGCAATTTCGAAGATGAACCGGTATGATCTAACGCCCCTTGATTATAATGGTCCCATATTGTATTGGTGGCTAGAAAATTACCAAAA